TTGTTTGTAGTACCTATACATGTTTTCTACTTAATCCATTAAAGACTTCAATGTATTAATCACAGTTCTTTAAGAGAATTTCAACATCTTTGTCCTATTTAAGCCTGGTTCCGATAGTTTGTCACTTCACAGTTCCTAGCTGTAATTTTGTAATTTTGTAATTTTTTGTTAAAGCTTTACGTGATGTATCTGGTAACAGGATCTGAGGTAAACAGAACTTTTTAAAAAATTAATCTCTACACCAAATGTGAAACTTGAACTCAGAACTGGAAACCAAGAATCACAAGTTCCACTGACTAAGCCAGCCAGGCATCCTGAGGTAAACAGAATTTTATCGTGAGGCACTATGTTAATCTGGCTAAGAGTGGGCTATATATAATATCCGCTATAGTTGTAAATGCCAGAGGACTCAAAATTCCTCTAGTGTCTTTGTTTTTGTCTCCCCTGTTGACTTTTAACTTCCTTAATTACTCCTCCTCAGAGACAGTCTATGCTTTGCAGCTGTAACCTACTGTTACAGTACCAGAATCTTGTCGGTGTGGTGGTTAAGTGGGGGGAAAGGAACCATACCAGGGATGCGTGGCTGGTACAGTCAGTAGTGACTCTGACTCTTGATCTCAGGGTCATGAGCTCATGCTCCACATTTGGCACGGAGCCTATGAAAGAGAAAGAGAAAGTCAAGAGGAAGGAGAAGAGGAAGAGGAAGGAGAAGTGGAAGGGGAAAAAGGAAGGAAGGAAGGAAGGACGGACAGATGGAAGGAAGGAAAAGAAAGGAAGAAAGGAAGGGAGGGAGGGCAGGAGGGGAAGCATACCTCCTACAGTAGCATAATCTACTATAATTTTATGATCAAATTTTAGTCATTTAGTGGGTCTGTGACTTTAACAAATGTTTCTTACTTTCCACCGCACTGCCTATTAGGTGAGACAGAAAGGCTACAGAGGACAGCCATGGAAAAAATGCTTTTCTCCCAGGTAAGCTATAACTTTACTAAAGTCTTTTCCCTAGAAGAAAAAGCTGTATTCAATTTCTGGCCTCATTTCATAAAAGTTATCCCTTCCCCTTCCACGTCACAGCCCCTGAGGATCTCACTGTGAGAACCTAATGGTTTTACCTAGAGGTAAAGTCCATGAATGTGTGGAGGGACTTCTAAAACTACAGTCCCTAGGAGTTTTTCACTCTCAAGCTAGTCTAATCCATACTCAGCCTCCAGTAATTCATCAAAAGTACCAGTTAGATGTTCCTACCAACTAATGTATGGTTGCTGTGGCTTCTGCTCCAGGTAAGCACATCTTGGCTGTGGCTCTCTGGAGTTACTTTCCTCTCCATAATTCAGGGTAGCAGTTTGTACTGTAGCCTCATTTCTTTGATGGGTCCATGAAAAGCACTGATTTTCAGTTTGTTCACTTTTTCTTATTGTAAGGCTAGAAGTGATGACTTCCAGGCTCTTTACGTGTTGGAGCTGAAACCAGAAGTCTTGCTAAATTCTTTACTAGTATGATGATTTTTTCCCTGCAATTCACACATATACTTATTGCAATGAGAGTGATGATCAGCTAATTACTAGATGCTACATTGCAGCATAACTCCAACTTCTCCATTGCCTTTATAGAAGCTTTTCTCAGCCAGTATTCTGCTAGAGAATTAAGTGTTATAGAAAATAAATTATTATTTTCTCAATTCTACCAAGGATGCTACATAACTACTACCATGGTACATGCATAGGAGTTAATTTATTACATAAAATGGATGCCTTAGAGGCACTTGGGTGGCACAGTCAGTTAAGCATCTGATTCTTGGTTTCAGCTCAGGTTGTGATCTCAGCGTCATGAGATCAAGCCCTGTGCCAGGCTCTGCACTCAGCCCACAGTCTGCTTAAGACTCTTTCTTTCTCTCCCTCTACCCCTCCCCACCCCTGCACTCTCCTTCTTCCTCTCTCTAAAATAATAAATCTTTAAAAATAAGTAAATAAAATAGATGCCTTAGCCATTTTACCTCATAATGTTTCAATGTATACTTCCTAAAATAAGGATATTTTCTTATATTATGGCAAAACAGTTATCACATTTAAGAAACTGAACAATACTTTTATATAATCTACCACCAAAGGCATAGTTTTCTCAATTGTCCCAAGAATCCCCCCTCCCCGCAAAAGAATTCTGATCTGGATCAAATATTCATTTAATTGTCATGTATCTTTTTAAGTCTCTTTCAATCTTTCTCAGTCATTCTTGACTTTCATGACACTGACTTTTTCTTTTTAAAGAATACAGGCCACTTTTCATTGTTTCTTAATAACATGTTGCTGGTTTTGGCTTTGTCTGATATTTCCTTATAATTAAATTCAGGCCATGCATCCCTGGCCAAAATACTGAATACTGAAACTGTATCCTTCTTCTCAAGACCTAAGTTAGTCTTAATCATCTATTGATGATTATTTCCCAGTCAATCTTTACAATGATCACTGCAATAATTCTGTAGTTGTGCTCAATCCATATTTATTAATCAGCATTCTACCATATGGGAAAGTTCTCCCTTTCTCCTTTTTATCTATCAGTCAATTTGACTGTCAGCAGTATGGATGCATGGTTTCCTATTTTTTCAATGGTTCATTACTGTCCTTAGTTATTTGGATGTTCAAAATAGCCCTAAATTTGGCCAATGGTAGCATCTTCAAACTAGCTTCTCAGTTCTTTTGACATGCCCCCCATCTTTTTTTTTTTTTTTTTTTTCGGTAACACTTCCTTGATTTCTGGTAACATTGAGATATTCCAAGCTCATCTTATACCCTCTCTTCCCCACATCTGGAGATCACTCATTTCTCCAAAGACCTCCGTTTCCTTTCAGCTGGGAATGGTATTAGAAATCAAGAATGAGTGCCATTATGTAGTCACTGCTGTGAGGGTAGTATGAATCTAGACTGGTCATATCAAGTATGGTAGCCATTATCCATATGTAGCTATTTAAATCAAAATTAATAAAACAGAATTTTAGTCCCTCAGTTGCACTAGCCACATTTCATGTGCTAAATAGCTACATGTATTTTGTTACTGCCATATTAGATAGCACAGTTATTTATGGAACATTTCCAACATTACAAGAAAATTCTATTAGACATTACTTACTGTTATAAGTAACAGTTTTTCACAAAAGTCAATTTCACAAAGTGAACTTTTAAGTTCTCACTCTCCATTACCTTTTAAATATCTTCCTGTGTCCACTACATTCTTTCATACATCAAAAAATTACTTATTGAGCATATACTATTGGGACAGTTACTGTTCAAAGCTCTGTAGGTTCAGAAATACATAGTCCCTATTCTCTAAGAATTTACAGTGTAATGAGAAAACAGAAAAATAAAGGATTATACTAAAATAATGGCTTATTTTTATAACAAGGTGCTATATTAATATCCTATAATGAGGATGTCAAGGAAGGCTTCCCGAGAGAAAGGACATTTATTAAGTTTAGAAAGGTAAATAACTGGCGACTGAATATCCTCGCAATTTGGAGGATAAGTTGGAGGTGGAGCATCTGTTCTTCCACCATTTTTTTCATCTCTATTCCTATTTACTTAAAATTCTTTCTCTAACTCTCCCATAACCTTTCAAAAGTCTGTTTATCTTTCAAAACCCTTATTTAATGATGTATTTCTTAATACCTCTAACCAGACAGGCCCCTTCCCGTACCCCAAAATATACTGTCTTAACTGATTTCAAAAACAAAAAAGATTTGGTTTATTTTTGTCATTATCAATACAACAGATAAGAACATGGTGTTTGGAATCAGACATTTTGCTTACTAGCTATGTGACCTTGGGCAAGTTACTTAATCTCTCTGCTCCTCAATTTCTGCATCTAAAGGGGAATTAACAACATCTCACAGTTACATTTTGAGATAATAACAAAATAATGTACTGAAAATGCTTAGCTCAATGAGTGGAATATGATAAAATATATGGTCTCCTAGTAACAATAATCTCACACTCATTTCTTCCTTTGTTTGATGAATAAAGGCCAATCTTTACAATCTCAGAGAATATATTCTAGTAACATCTAACAAATCCCCTAAATTACTCAAGCAAATTCCTTCCAGTCAGACTATTATGGCATACTCATACGTTCAACATTTTCAATAAGCAATTCTATGTATAATTATGAAATTAGATACTCGATTTCAAAAAATATTATTTATCTAGTTCGTATAGCATATTTAAATAAAAATCATTAAACAAAATATGGCTTTGTATGTAAACTTTAAATAAAAATATTTTCCCATTAAGAAACTTTCCTAAAAAGCACATCATATAACAAAAACTAAAGGTAACTCATGTTGACCTTTATCACAGTTTTAGGTATGTATTGAAAGATGTACATTTAACATTCTGCTAACAAATGAAAAATATGCTTTTTTAAATGCACGTTTTTTTTGTTTTATTTCTTTCCAGCGTAACAGAATTCATTGTTAAAATGCACGTTTTTAATGAAGTACATTTTAATTGTAAAAAGTATCAGCATGGATATATAAAATTGCATTGCTTATATTCCAGACAAAGGAAAAGACATGCTCTCCAGGATTAACAAATACCAAACCTAAAAAGGAGAGTGATGCCATTTCCTACAAAATAACTGGCAGCTATGCAGATTTTTACTTTTTTTTTTTTACTAAGCAAAAGACAAATATGTAGTACACTTGTGTTTTCCTTATTACCCTTACTAGCAAAATTTTAAACCACCATGATATATGTAATTTTCCTCCAAATTAGTTTAAGCATAAAAGGTATTTTTAAAAAATGGAGATGTGAGAATTTTAATACACTGCCATGTTAAAAAATTTATTAAATTCCACTTATATGTTGTCAACAGCTATGTCTTATAAACTATATATTTAAAGGTTTCTAGATGTAATTATTCTAAATAATCATGTATAATCCGTATTCTTTTGTATGTGAAATACATTGATGACAAAATCTTTGTTCACATTTTCCCATAGGCAGCCTTACCTGTGGAGTCCAATATAAAGTAGGGCTCAATCGGTAGAGTTTTCGTTTGTGGAAACTCTGAAGTGGCCTTGTTCGAGCAGCTGTACTCATGATAGTCAAGGATGGAGATTTCAATCTTGTCCTGTCTTTTCTCCTTTTCTTATTGTGCTTCTGGTTAAGTAACCAGCTACTGGAGGAAGAGAGCTCATCTAAATTCTCTGAAGCACTGAAATGCCATGAAATAATTGGGGAGTGGAGAGAATAAAACAAAACAAACAAACAAACAAAAAAGACAAAGAAAACTAAATGTAAATTGCCTTGATCTATTATGACAGAAGAGTATTAATTTTAGCCAATTTTGTGGTAACAATTGGCAAAAGAATGGGTATTAACGGAGATTTATATATTCAAGTTGTAAAAATAATTTCTACTTCTATTTCCTCCTGTAAAACAAATATCCCATAGGTCGGAAATGCTCATATGAGTTCACTGGTACGATGTACATGTTCACTGTAAATCAATAATGCATGCCTGTTGTTCGGTGCTGTAACTATTTACATCATATTCTTTTTGCATATGGGTGAAACCACATAAGATTATAGGTTTACAAAAGGCTAAAATCCCATACTGTATCATTAGTTGCTCTGAAATAAATACTACATACCATTTCAGTAAATTCTGAAACAAAGATACAATCCTACTATGTTTTAGAAAAAATTTCTAAATTTCTAAAAATTTTTTTTAAAGTTCTGATGATATAGAAGCCACAACTATAAAATAGTGAAATAGATTACACAAACTATATATAAAAATAAGCACATTAATGTCATCAACATTCTTCATATTAATTTTTAAACATATTTAAATATTTTTTAAAAATCAGAGTATCAGAAGGAAGTTAATGCTCAGTGCCACATAAATTTCATTTCATTTATACCAGTATACTATATATAAAATAAGTTTTTCAGGCACTACATACAATGTACCAATTTCAACCTTATTTATATAGACAGAAACTAGTCAATTTAGTATTTTAATATCAACAAGTGAATCTGCCATATGTTGTACTGCTAATAAACATACATTCTAAGTAAGTTATTTGACTTAAGTAGAATTGGTGTTTAACAGTAAATATAAGATCTGGTTTTTCTATAGCAGCATCATTAGTTTCAAATCATACTTATGGATGCTATAAAATATTCTGCTAGCTTATGGATAAAGAAAGTAACTTAAGAGTGCTTTACATAGTAATAAGAAATCAGAAATAAAGGCACCTGAATGGCTTTTGTTGGTAACACCAAAGAGAATTAAATACGGAATTTGGTGACTATAATATACCCAACAAGTACTTGAGTATGTACTACTGGCCACACCAGTATAGGGTGGAAGAGGTGATAATAACTATTTCATTTAAAAATCTTAACTTTATATTTTTTAAGACTTTATTATTTCAGAGAGAGAGAGCACAAGCTGGGGGGATCAAGCAGAGGGAGAAGGAGAAGCAGGCTCCCCACTGAGCAGGGAGCCAGACTTGGCTGGATCCCAGGACCCTGGGATCATGACCTGAGTCAAAGAGAGACACTTAACTGACTGAACCACCCAGGCACCCTAAAAATCTTAACTTTAGTCTTCAGAGAGCCCTAGTCAAAAGAGTCTTAAGTCCCAGTTAGTAGGCATTCTAAAGATCTAAGAAAGGTTTAATACAACACTATTCTCAAATTAACAGGTCCAATCTCATGTCCTAGACATTATTTTCTATAATAAGTGTATCAGTGCTAAGTAACAGTCTGCTCTTGAGAAACAGCCAGGGAGGTGGGCTATCATGTCAAGCATGAGCAGAAGGCACAGATGATGGACAGTATCAAATGAGGCACTGGGTAGGGTAGGTGGTTGGCAGAGTAGTCAGTCAGGTCAGGTAGAAGACAGTTTTCAGAAGGTGGTTGATATAAGAAGTCAAGTCAGGATGCTAGAATCCAAGAAGATAGGAGTAGATCCAGTACAAAAAGAGGTTCTTCCGGCAAGTTAGAAACATCTTTAGGCAAGAGACATTGCTTCCATAGAGTCTAGAGAAAATGCAGAGCTTTTTTTATTCCAGGAGTTAACTCTGAAGCACAGTTTAACTCTGCCCTCTTTAATTCTTTAGCGGTTAATGAGACCTGATTCCCCTCCCCACAGAAGAGTTAGCCCTAAAGAAAATGAGCCACCATCTCTTTATTGACTGACAGGACACAGCTTTTGAATCGGCTTATAGGTTGGGTTAAAGATAAAAAGAAAATGTGCCATTTGTTCATTGAATGTTGTATTTTCAAGTTTTTTTTTTTTTTTAGATTTTATCTATTTGACAGAGAGAGACACAGCAAGAGAAGGAACACAAGCAGGTGGAGTGGGAGAGGGAGAAGCAGGCTTCCAGCTGAGTGGGGAGCTCGATGTGGGGCTCAATCCCAGGACCCTGGGATCATGACCTGAGCCGAAGGCAGACACTTAATGCCTGAGCCACCCAGGCACCCCATAATTTGGCTTTAAAATGAATTAAATAATTGAGGAGAGGAGAACAGTGAGGATTAGTTGACATTTTTCTCCATTTCCACAATCACTCCCCTAATTCAAGTTCTTTTTGTCCAGAATACTCCAAGAGCCTCTAACTGGTTTCTCTCATCCACACTTTCCCCCCTTCATTTCCTTCTATTACCAATCTTTTGGGAAAACAAATATTACCTTTTCATTCCCTTTCCTCCCATTCCGATACTGTTTACCATCTCTCAAAGCCTTCCCATTACTCTGGAGAAAAAGACTTCCAAGTTTAAAAGGCCCTGACTGGCCTGGCACCTGCCATCAGTCTCCTGACTATCTTGCATTGCAGTCCTCCCTGCTCTTGTGTTCTAGCCACACCACCTCCTTCCATTTCAAGTGATTCACACTCTCTACAGTACAAGACCTATTACATGTTATCTCTGCTTTACTTCTCACATCCTCCTCCAACTACTTAATTTCCAATAATCATGTGGCTCTCAGCTCAAAAGTCCGTTTCTTAGAGTCTTTCAGCCCTTGTTTCATCTTTCCAAAGACTAGCTCAAATCCCCTTTTGAGCTCTGACATCACTGCTCATCTGTCCTTCAAAGCATTTTTCATAGTGATAATTTTGTATTCATCTGTATGATTATCTGATTAATTAATGTCTTTCTAGACTGTAAGTAGTACAGGGACTGTATCTGTTTTGTTCACCCTTGTATCAAGAAATTCCTGATATTGCATCTTGCATACAGCAGATGCTCAATAAATATTTGTTGAATGAATAGAGAAATACACACATATATATATATTGGCAGGTTTATCATTCCAGCTCTGTGCTTTGTACAGTGCCTGTATAAAACACATTATACCTATATAATTAGTTTAGTGAATGAGTAAACATTGAACCTTTTAAAAAACCTAAAAACCAAAAGAGCTTTTAGAAAGATTAGATAGATAGATAGATAGATATAGTGATAGGGCCTTGCATTTCATTCTATATCTCTAAATCTGGTTTACAAAAGGTAGTTTTTGGTAGTAAGATATGATGTATCTTATCTTATTGTATAGTCAAATATGTCCATCATAAATTTAGAATAAGGAGATAAGAACTATAAGATGTTCTGATTTGTAAAAGGGCATCAATCAAGTCTAAAAATTTCTTCTAATCTAGAAAGTACAAACAACTGAGAGCTTTATCTAAAAAAATAAAAAGTTCTGAGTTCATACTTTATATTAACACTATTTACTTTCTCTAATAGTTATTTAATGACTTTCTGAAATAACTGGTTTTCTATTACAATCCTAGAAAATCCTAGCAGTTAAGATATTTATGGATGATAACAAGCATTCAATTTGCTGCTACAGAGTGGAAAACTTCAAGTGAATTTTTTTTACAGTACAGTCCTATACTCTGGATTACTATAGGAACCAAAGTCCCAAAAGTTTTCATTTTTTAGCAGATAGTCTACTGTAAATCACTACCAAAATCAATTCCTGCAAACATTATGCACTTATATTAATAAATAAAACAATCTAAAAATATGAATATATGGGGGCATGGATTAGCTAATTTTTTGGTGTTATCTCAGTGGCAGTATTAATGGTAGAGGATGTGGAATAACAGTTTAATTTTGATATTTCTTTTCTTTCTTTCACAAACCCAGTGAAAGACAATCTAGGGTTTTTCACAGTAAATTATTCAAATATTTAATAACCTTTTGCCTAAACCAAATTATCCTCTTAGAAGGACAGGAATAATTGGAATATCATAATAACCTTATAATGCTGTGCTCAAATATTTTTAGTAAATAAGAAACTTTGGGGCTTGGTTGTAAATTCAGAATGCTAGAACCATAAAAGCATAAAAAAGACTTTATGAGATTATTTTAATCTTTTGTTCTCAAGAAGAGCAGAACATAAATTTTTAATGTATTATTTTAAAATACTGTTTAAGGATAGTAGTTTTCAATATTTCTCCCATATTTACCCATTCTCATATTAAATAAACTTTTTAAAGAGTAGAAGGGTGCCTTGGTGGCTCAGTCAGTTAAGTGTTCCACTCCTGATAAATTCAGGTCTGGATCTCAGGGTAGTGAGTTCAAGCCTCCATCGGGCTCCACGCTGGGCATGGAGCCTACTTAAAAAAATAAATAAAATTTACAAAAAGTACAAATCAATAAAGGAAAATTGGAATGTGCATTCTCAAAAAGATTCTTATAGCTCCACTCCTAACCCCCAGTTCCCATATATTCACATACAAAATACCCATACCCACTGTCCTGGGTTGAAGAGTGCCCTCACAAAAGTTACACTCACCAAGAACGTCACAGTGTGACCTTATTTGGAAATACAGTCTTTGCAAATGTAATTAGGTAAAATGAGGTCATAGAGGATTAGAGTAGACACTAAATCCACTCACTGATGTCCTTATAAAAAGAGACAAAGAAGAGACGCACCCAGGGAATAATGCCACGTGGATAAAGAGGTGGAGACTGGAGAGATGGGCTACAAGCCAAGGAACGCCAAGGACTGCCAGCAACCAGGAGAAGCCAGGCAAGAAACGATTCTTCCCTAGAACCTTCATTGAGAACACGGCCCTAACCCCTTGATTTTTAAATTCTAGCCTACAGAACTGTGAAAGAGTAAGTATCTGTTATTTTAAGTCACTCAGTGGTGATTTGTTACAACTCTAGGAAACTAAAATATCTATAAAAC